TTTTTAAAGCTTCCTTTGCTTGCATTCCATATACTCTGCAAAAATGGCTGCCTGCTTCCATGTTCACTAAAATGGCTCCACAGAGTTGACTTTTTCCTGAATTCAACACTCCATCCTGCAGCTGTACATCATCTTTTGGCAGCTACATCCCCCCTTCTATATGAAAGGAGAAAGGCGTGGAAGCCAAGCACTCCATGGAGTGTGACTTCACCTCATCGAATAAAAATAACGACTTTTGGCCAGATGCAGTGGCTCATGCTTATAATCCTAGCACTCTGGGAGCCATAGTGGGAGGATTGCTTGAGGCCTGAAGTTTAAGACCAGCCTGAACAAGAGTGAGACCCCCATCTCTAAAAAAAAAATAGAAAAATTAGCCAGGCTTGGTGGTATGCACCTGTAGTCGCAGCTACTCAGCAGGCTGAGGCAGGAGGGTCGCTTGATCGCAGGAGTCTGAGGTTGCAGAGAGCTATGATGATGCCACTGCACTCTAGCCTGGGTGACAGAGTGAGACTCTGTCTCAAAAAGAAAAAAGACTTTTGCAATGGCTTCCTCTAGCCTCCTAGGGAAAGAGACAGTGCCATTTCTTTACATGGTCTGCAACAGGATACTAAAATACTTCTAGTCTCCATGGTATACCCCACTCTCATGCTTCCACATAAATCTCTGCAGGAACACTCTCCCCGCCTCTCTCTACCTTACGATTTTGACTTAGATGTCACTTGGAGCAGAAAGTCCTTGCTAACCCCCTTCAACCCCAAGTCTAGATCAGGTGCTTTCATAGAACCCACATTTTCCTCTGTCTTAGCATTTGTCACATTGTATTATAACTGCCCATCACATTTAAGGTATTGGCGATGTCTCTTTGGGTCACTGTTGAATCTTTAAATGCCAGAACACTGATACACAGTAGGAATGCAAATAAATAACTTAGAATGAATGGATAAATTCCTTCCCAATCAAAAAATATATTGTAAGGTCATTTTCACCCAAGGATTGTGTCATGCTATTATTTCTCAAGGACCTTGAGAAGTCTTGGGGCAGAGGCTGCTCTAAAGACGTAGTCTTTCATACCACTGCACATTCTAGGTATTACTCCAGCAAAAATCTCAATGCTTAAAAATAATGAGGTTTTTAGGATATTTTTCAAATTTGCATTTTTGTCACTTTTTTAGGATAAGGAATAACAGCAGAAATAAAACTTCAAAAACAACAGTGAAATTAATTGGGTATGAAAGATAATCTCCAGAATAATTATCTTCTAGATTCTTGCTCCTATATTGAGTAGAGCTGTTTTTAAAGTCCAAGCTATGGCTATCCTAAAAACTTGTAAACATTTTAGAAAGGTATCAAACTCAATTAAAGATATTTGAAATTAATTAAAAATAATTATGAGTAGGATTAAGTCATTTTATGGGAGACATAGTTTCCTGTAGGTCAGTCTTATAAACATCACTATATTTGTTTCATTTCACATCTCCTTAAATTTTTCAAAATGTATTTCAAACAAAAAGTTGAAATGTATTAAGAACTCATTTTACTAATTGGCCTAACTTCCATATAGGAGGGATGTTTTCATATTAAAAAATAAAATGTTTGCGAAAATCCTTTAACAAATATGTTGGAGTATTAGAACCCAGAAAAGAATCATGCTTCCATATTTTGAAATATCAATAATTCCTTCCGTGCTAGAATTTTTTCAACTTTTTCTGAGGGCTTTTTTATGTCACATAATGTACTAAATACCTGAGAGCAGGGAAATGAATAAATTTGCCCATGCCCTGAAGCTCCTCACCATTTATTAGAGAGATGAACAAATATAGTTCATTGCAATGAAATGTTGAAGAGTGATGTCAGAGTATGCACAGGGGGGCTATGGAAAAGCACAGGAGAGGTACAACCTTGACACAGATTGCCCTTCTTTAACACATGAAAGTTTCTCTTCTAGCTGAAATTAAGTGGAAAGAGGTAGGTAGATATTAAATGTAGATTCAATGTTTCACTTGACAGTTGTAGAGAAAAATATAAAAGTGGATGAAATTCCACCACTAGACTTGGTGTGGTGGCTCACGCCTGTAATCCTGGCACTTTGGGGGGGTTGAGGCAGGAGGATTGCTTGAGGCCAGGAGTGTGAGACTAGCCTGAGCTAAATAGCGAGACCCTGCCTCCATGAAAAATAGAAAAAGCAGCCATGCTTTTTCTTGCTTGCATGGTGGTGCATACCTGTAGTCCCAGCTACTTGGGAGGCTGAGGCAGAAGGATCGCTTGAGGCCAGGAGTTTGAGCTGTGATGACACCACTGCACTGTAGCCCAGGTGACAGAACAAGACTCTGTCTCAAAACCAAAACAAAACAAAACAAAAAAATTCAATCTTTCATCTGAAATTTAGCAGTAATAAATGTGCTGAGTTTATACATCAGAGGAGTTAAATGTTGTGGTGACCATAATGGGGATAGTACGATCAAAACCTCACCATGGAAAATATTGACAACTATGAAAAAGTGACCTCATGTCAGAGAACCCGAAATATTAGAGGATAAAGGCAGGGATATGAGTGATGATAATTATTGTGGTAATGATGACAATGAAGGCAATAATTACTATCTTCTTCCAAAGTTCAGAATATTTACCATTAAATTGAGTCTTTGATTTCCTAGGACCAATTAAAATATTTACTTATAATCTTGAAAATCTGCTTAGGAAAAGTCAGGTTTCAATTAATCTCTTGGCTGAGTAGACCTTCCCTATCTCTAAAATAAGTCAGAATCTCTGGAATGTTTTACCTGGTGTTATATGAACCATTGTGAAAAATCACATCTTCCTACTTAAAAACTTCTCTACCCCCAATGATAAAACATGGAATGTTAGTGTCCTATATGCACAGAGGAGAAGCTCAGCTAGCAGTGAGTGAGACAGAACAGAAGGGCCTTGGCCAGGTTCTTGGAGGGCAGAGAGAGCTTAAAGAAAGTGAGAAAATGAGCCTGGAAGCAGAAAAGTGCAGTAACTTGAGAGTAGGTAAGTAGCTCACAAGTGCCATTGCAGGAAAGTAGTAGGAGCAGGAGTGGTTCAAAAAGAGATAAAGGCTATGTGTGCCCATAGATCAGACATCTTGGAGCAAATGATATTTGGAGAGTCGAGGAAAAAGGCAAGGAATTACTATAGACTTAGAAAGAATAACAGCAAGAGAGTAGCTACCCCCGCAAAGCAAGACTCATGGAGAGTTCCTCGCTGGGGTGGAAGGAGTGTGGTCAAATGCAAAACAGAGCTCCAGGATCAGAAGATCAGAGTGCAAGGGAACACAGGCAGACATTCTAACACACTGGACCAAGATGGAGTCTATTAACCAGATTAAGCACAAGGTCGGGAACTAAGTTTATAGTAAGTACAAATGACAGAGTAGGTGTCTAGAAGTGGAATCTCTAAAGAACTTGAAAAAGCCTTAAGGACAGGATGATGCCCTTCAATGCCAAAAGAAGATAGAGGCTGCTGGTGAGGCAGCTGGGAGGTTAAGAGAAATGAGGGGAAAAGAATTGGTTCATTCTATTTTGGGTAGCTTTCAAGTTCAGCACATCTAGAAAGTCTGGGCTGAGGAAGCTGAAATCTCTCAAACTCTGTAAGAGACTGAGATAAGTGAAAACTTTTAAAATGTATAAAGAGTTACTCTTGAAGAAAAGCAGTTAGTTATTACCTCCAGTCAGTTATTACCAAAGACAACCACTGCTACAATTTTAATACACTTGTTATAGTAGCATAGTTGAAATGTTATTATATCATCACGTTATATTGTCATTAATCAAAGGGTAATATTTCCATAATGCTTTACAGTTTTAAAGCCCTATCACATTCATTATGTTATATCCTCGATAACTCTATAATGTAAATGAAACAATATGATCAAGCACATTTTCAGATGTAGAAATAAAGGTACAGATTAATGACTTGATTGAGGCTTTAAAACCACTTATAAAGTCAAAGCCAGATGATCTAACTGTGAGTCCAGACCAATCCCAGCATAACTCAGTAAGCCCTGAAGTGAGTGAGAAAAGAATCTGGTAAATTATGACTTTAGATAATCTTATCCCTGGGAAATCTTGGGTATTAATTTCATCATACCTATTGTCTTACCTCCTATGCATTGCCTGTATATAGGAATGGGATCGGCTCTAGGTGAAAGCCAGAATTTGTTTTCTCTCTCCTCCACCTCCCTCTATACTGAAAGAAAGCTGTGTTGCAAAGAGCAAAAGCTTTGGATTAAGGCTGACTTTGATTCAGGCTGATTTGGCTTCCAATCCTGGTTCTAGGACTCTACAACTTCCACCAAAATATTTATTAGCCTCTGCACCTATTTTTTAATTTGAAAAAATTGTGGGTATGATACCTATTTTAGAGGGTTTTAAACTTTTTCAACATGATAACAAATGTGGAACACCTAGTACAATGTCTGGTGCATGGTAGACATTCAATAATCATTGGCTTTTATGCCTTATCCCTCTCACACTGTGCACCTCATTTGATTTAGGAGTGCAATATTGACTCCATTTTACAGATGAGCTACAAGAAAAGTTAAGATAATTTCTTAGGGCCACATATAAGGTAAGTAAAGATGGGATTTTGGCCTAGGTCCCTGAATCCTTGTTGCAAAAACTTTTGGTGCCCTGTGCTAATATCCCTTTAGCTTGACTCAGCCATAGCTGTAGTGGATCGTTCCTGCATGCAGACAACATCCTGCTTCGAGCATCCACTGTCCCATTTGTCTCGCCTCTTCTCTGCCTCAAGTCTCTTGCTACCAAGCCCCCAGGAGTTTTCTGGCAAGAGAGTTCTGGAAGTACAGAGGAGTTAAAATCCCTAAGGGCAGCCTTCAACAAATGGGAGCTGGCTGCCCTATGTCCTGGTCTCAGACTATATCTTGGGAACTAAAGGTTTGGGTGGGAGAAGGAAGGGTTGCTTTATTTTGTTTTGTTTTCATTTGTGTTTGCACTGCATTTCTCCCTGTTTCTTTGTAGGTCACCAAGATGCTGGCGGTGGTTGTAATTCTGTTTGCCCTATTATGGATGCCCTACAGGACTCTTGTGGTTGTCAACTCATTTCTCTCCAGCCCTTTCCAAGAAAATTGGTTCTTGCTCTTTTGCAGAATTTGCATTTATCTCAACAGTGCCATCAACCCGGTGATTTACAATCTCATGTCCCAGAAGTTCCGTGCAGCCTTCAGAAAGCTCTGCAACTGCAAGCAGAAGCCCACAGAGAAACCTGTTAACTACAGTGTGGCCCTAAACTACAGCGTCATCAAGGAGTCAGACCATTTCAGCACGGAGCTTGATGATATCACTGTCACTGACACTTATTTGTCTGCCGCTAAAGTGTCTTTTGATGACACCTGTTTGGCTTCTGAGGTAACCTTTAGCCAAAGTTGATTCGTGAATTAGAAGAAAATGGACCACAAAGTAAATGAGAGTCTGTACAGTTATCAACAAAGAGAAGAAACGGCTAAGGCTTGTATGTGAAGACAGATAAAAATCTTCGCCAAGGCTCTAACAAGTCCTGGCCCTAGATATTTTAATCCATGAGAATAATTCAGATTTTCCTTCTTATAAAATCAGTACCACAAGAAAGGGAACAGGTCTATAAAATAGCTAAATGATAGCTAAACTGAAAGGGTAGCCCTTTTCATTTAATTTGAGAAATTCACTATATTTCCTGGGGTTATGGTGTTTTGATAAAATCTAGACATCACTTTACATTATTCACAATAACCTTATTAAATGGGATCTCCCCCCCCCCGAAAAACATTATCTATACATTTGGTCACTTGGCAACATTCAGAATTTTAAATATTTGCATTTAATGTATCATTTTAACAAGGTACAGTGCTATTTCATGAATATCTGAGACTATAAGGGAAAATATTTTTAAAACATTTTGTTTATTAAATAAAAATGAAATTTCAGACAAACGTTCACTATACTAAAAAATTGTCATTATGTTTATAAAATTCTGAGATGATTTTTGTTTCTTACAAAGTAGTGGTGATTCAATTGTAATGTAAAATAAACCTCAAAATATCCAAAATTATAAATTGAGAAGACATGTAAATTTGATTTTGAGATAAATCCAGCTCTTATCAACTCTTTGAGCTTCCTAAATGATGAATGGGACAAGAGAAATATCCAGATTTAGTCACTGTGAAGAGACAAACTAACGTACAGTTAATATTGAAAAGTATAGCCAAGACAAGACCAAGTATTTATATATTAATAATAAGGTTTTGCTTTTTCTCTCAAACACTTAAAGAGAATGTCATTTTTGAACATTTTTATGTGTAAACTGCTGAAACATGTCAAGCGAATCCTTCTAGCTGAATCTAGCTTAAAAGTCTGAAACATTTTCAAAGGTTTAGTTGTTATTCTTAAGTCAGCCAAAATCTGTCACACTTCCAGATGAAAAGTTCCCACTGAGAATTGTAGTCTATGGATTTTAACTTGTCTGCAATTGTCTTTCCTTCCTGCCTGCTTGTCATTTATAGGTTCTTTTTTCCCCAAATGCTGGTGATATTTTGTTCACAGATTCTAAATCAAAGCAATGCAAAATTCTATTGGTTTTATTTTCAGTCAAACTAAACTGATTTCATCATATTATCTACTATCTCATCCTTATATTAATAGTTATGACTTAGACTTGCTATTCCAGTGATTATTTGATAGGCATGAATGTGAATCTGCCCAGGATATTTGTCAGGTCCCATTTGAATCCCTTTCATATAACTCGTCTACTGAAATTTGGCCAATCAGCATCTCCAAGGGTACAAATTACCCTTGGTGATGGTTCAGTGATTAATGACCTTTAATAACTGCATCAAAAAGTACTCGTACCTTTAAATGCCCCATAGGCTGGCATTTTCCCTTTCCAGCCTATATCCCTATTCTATGGATTTTTTTTCTGGAACCTAATTACTAATGATCATTACCCTTTCCCACCTTGTTACTGAAGAATACATCACTCTGTTCTGGCAACTTTTATTGTAAAGTGTTGCTTCATGGAGATTCTGCCATCCAGAACATTGTTAGAACATGCTTTTATGAATATTGCCTTCCTCTACTCCAGGAAGACATTCTTATCCTGTCACTGTCTCAGTAAACAACTGCAAGCAAATATTTACAGGAAATACCCTAGAAGTCTATCTGCATGACACTAAGCTAGCTATGTTAGCTGCCTTTTCATCCTGGATTAAATATTATTCTAGTCATATAGATAGAGCACCAGAGTTACTGAAACCCAAACCACACAAGGATATGTGTAGGTGCATAGAAACACATACCCAAATGTACATAAATTGCTTAACAAAGGGGATTGGAATACATTAGATTTTTTTCACTAACGAAAGGAACTAATATCATTGAGCATCTACCATGTATGTCTTAAGCATGCTGGTACGTACTTAGTCGATATTATCTTCATCACAATCTCATGGAAGCTGTGATTTTTTTGGTTATATTATATATAATATATATATTTCCCTAAATAGTGTGTCCACATGGCAGAAAAAAATGGAGAAAATATGTATTTATTTTCTCTTCTTTTTTAAGCTGGCATAGTGATTAAATTCTTGTGACCTGATGGCCTTAAGTAATTAAAAAAACTACTTTGCAGAATGGTAATATCAGATATAGAAAAAAATTACAATTAGTCTTACATAATATACACAGAACACAATATACTCTTCTTGCCTTTGGACATCGAATATATGGGCTCAGTTTTTCCACTTTAAGTTTTTAAAAGTTATTTGCCAACAATCTGTTAGTTTTAGACCACATGGGAAATTCAAAAGAATGTAACTCATAGTGTTTCAACTCTAAAGCAAATGCCATTATAAAATTAAATGTTCCTGTATAATGTCCAATAGATATTTGTATTTATACAGAAGAGACATAACTTTTTAAATTATTCTTTATCCCACTATACTAAATCACAAAATATTGCCATAAATGAATAATCAAAACTTAATATACCATCAAGTGAAAAATAAAAAGCTAGATTAAAATTTGCTGGTGGGATGAAGTAATGTTATTAAGAGCCTCCCTTAATAAAATTTCTTTGAGTTATTTTATTACTTCCAATTTCATTAATTGCTGAGTGTCTGTGGTTAAATGTTGCACCTGAGGTAATTGGGTAAAGGACACAGATCATTAATAAAATGAGCAAACATAAATTCCCTCTTAGGACTTCATCAGTATTATGAGTATATTTCTAGAGCTTAACACACAATGCTAATATTCTAAATGCTGAAGAAAAATAAGAAAAGTCCAAACTCTATAATAATTCTTATATAGATTAAATGCGCAGAACAATACACTTTCGTAATATACCAAAAGAAATAGCTGGTTTAAGCTTAAAAACTTGCAATATCAAAGGAAACTAAGTCTTAAATGGGTACTTGAATTGTTTCATTTTTAGAAGACTATGTTGAGATAATAAGGACCATATGTCTTAGTAAATCTGGGTCTACATGGTTTTGGTCTGCTCTTAAAGAATAAATGAGTTATATCATTCTAAACTACATTAAATCTATAAACATGATGGAAGAGAGAAAATGTTAACTTTTAGCATTTTGGAGGAAAATATTTTAAGTTGTTAACCCATGAATCTATGAATTCTATAAATATTAAATTTAATATTATTTTTCCCTCTCAAGTGCAAATCATACAGGGGTTGGAATATTTGTGTATGAAGTAAGGAAACTAGATGTGAATGAGAGAGAACCCAGAAGCAGTTAGTCAGTCCCAGGTTCAAAGAAAATTTTTTTAAATGTTTCCCCTAGAAGGAAGCAAACATGAAAATCTCTAGCAATTTATTTTCTATTTATCCTTTTCTATCTACAGTCAAATAGCCATCAAAACCAATATTTGACTGAGTGACTGTGCAAATATAAGTTTTTAGGATACACATGAAGAAACCTTACAGAGCTCTGTAGTAATAAGTTTTTATTTTTTAATCACTCTCTTTTTCCCCTTCTCCCCATCAAACTCTCATCCCTCCAGCATTGCTTTCCTCACAAGACAATATATCTAACTTCATTCAATACTAAACCCAGACCTGACGTATCTTAAGTAAAAGTATAAATGTTCTTTCAAACATATTTTTGTATAAGAAAATATGTTGTTTTGCAAACATTCATTTCCATAAAATTGCTTTTAAATTATGGAAAAGCTGATGCTTCTAAAATTTTTATTTAACTTATGTCCTCATTTACATGGTTGCAATCATCTGTAGAGTTGAGCTGCTTAATATGGCTTTTTCCTCATAGAACAAAGAAAGGTTTGGTATTTCTGAGGTTTCAGTCAGATAGCAGTAGAAGAACACTCAATATATGCAAAAATGCTGCAGAAATTTGTTTCAGAAAACAAAAGCTTCTTCCCATTTTCACGAAGCTCACAATCCAATCAGAAAAACAAGACCAAAATGACATCAGCTGAAATATAATCATTTGGCAATATTTAGAATATGAATTTGAGATGTCAGAGATATGAAAGGAGCAATTGTTAGTAGTCTATTTGGAAATGTCTTAGGATAACTTTCAGTATAAAGATCATTCACAGATTCTAATTCCATTTTATGGATTATAATTAGAAATATCAATTAATTTAATTCTTAACTACACAGAAAAAAAAGACCCTGTTATATTTGTATCATATGATTAACCTACAAGTATAATCTCAAATCACTCAGCAGCAATCTTCATATGCAAGAATTGTACATTGGAGAATAGTTTTGTTACTGAGATTGTAACCACAAAATTCTGACTATGCAGACATAAACTAAATATATACAGTTCTGACTTTAATATTCAAATACAATATGTCCCCCATCTTCAGTAGATGCCTGAAACTGCCGATAGTACCAAGCTTTATATATGTTATGATTTTTTCAATTTGATAAACAAGATGGCTACCAAGTAACCAGCCAGCATCTAGTAAGAACAGTGTGGAGTTGGTGGACGAAGAGAGGATTCACATCTTGGGCAGGATGGAGTAGGGTGGCATGAGATTTTAATCATGCTTACTCAGAATGGTGCACAATTTAAAACTTATGAATTGTTTATTTCTAGTATTTTCCATTTAATATTTTTGAACCAAGCTTGACCATGAATAACTAAAACTGCAGTAAGGGGCAACTATTGTAATCTCTTTTGACAACAGGGATCACGAATGTTTGTGCAAAATGTTGTCAGGCCTGTTTACGTTCTTCTATAACAAGTGCATTCATGGTAAATCCAACATAAGGTGATTAATTCATATTTTGAAAATTATATCTGGAAAAATAAAAGAATGGAAGGAAGTAGAACAGCCAGGACCATGGATTTTCCAGAACTATGATGTCTGGATCCAGCAAGAAAACAAAAGAGCATTTTAATGACTAATAAACAGCAAATCCACTAAGGATTGCCTGTATGGCCTCATGGAGAAACATCTGGGGCAAGTCCTACTACAGGCTCTCAACCAGAATAATGGAAATGAAAGCACAGTGAAAATTATAGTAGTTAAAAGAGCGGGATAAACCATGGAGTCAGTGACAGCTGCTTCAATTTATCTGAGCCCTGAAGCAG